GTGTGTGTAAGTCTACCTTTGCCTTGGGCCAAGTTGCGGTTGAAGCCCAGCGGACTGACAAACTCAAAGAGGAAGACGGCGATGGCTGTGACAATGAGCAGCATCACAAACATCATCACCCAAACCGATGCACTGAAGGGCTCTGAGAGGAAGGAGAAGGAGAGAGAGAGGGAGCAGAAAGAGTTAAAGGCAAATCGAGTACACGAGACAGCGAAATATCGTGGAGGAGCAGGAGTGAGGGACGTAGAGGGAAAGTGGAGGCAGACAGACTCGCGGAAATAAAAGAAGAGACGCACACACACACAAAAAAAAACAGGGATGAGGGGGGAGATAAAGTGAGGAAATGATGATAGAGAAGAAACAGAGAGGGGAAAAAGGGATACAGATGGAGTGAGAGAGGAGGGAAGGAGAGGGAGAGTTAGTCACAGAGAGTTTGACGGAGCACATTTCCATATTTCTCATTATTCCCTTGGATGAGAGCTGAGAGAGAGGGAGAGGCCTGGGGCGGGGGAGATGGTAGAGGAAAGGGTTAGAGAGAGAGAAAGAGAGAGAAAGGGAGAGAGAGGGAGAGTGGGAGAGAGAGAGGAACCAAGCCCAGAGTGATCTGCTGTGCCCTGCTGTGGGCATGTGTATGTGATCTATTTGTGTGTTTGGTGTGTAGCAGGGCAGGAGTTCAGAGAGCGGGATGAGTGCCAGAGACATTGAACCCAGACAAATTGTATGTGTGTGTGTGTGTGTGTGTCACTGCATGTGTAAGTATGCGACTGCCAGGGTTAGCCAACCCTGAGAGATTGTGCGCTGAGGTGCCTCTAATATGAGTGCGAGATACTGAACCGTCACTGATACCCTGGCGCAGGCTCAACACACACATTTGCTTAAACACACACACATGCATACATGCACGCAATCATACAATAAGCTTTAACATAAATACACGCACAAAGCATTCACCCCTTAACATACATACGGCCACAGCACCTTTGTTCTCCACACATCCTTGTCTCACTACACAAACGTCCCAATATATAAATATATATAAATATATATGTATGCATATATAATATCGCAAAAATGTCTTGTTTTTGTTTTTCTCACAGCACACACACACGTGCATACTGACACATGGCTTGACACGCTGGGACCAACACACGCATGGTCCAATACATCCCCTCGCTCCCTGCCTCGCTCCAATGACAATACAAGACATTAGGCAACCACAGAGGAGCGCTTCAATTCCTAGTCATCTGAACAACTGGAGAGGAGGAGAAGGCAGGGGAGAGGAAAGGGGGGAGGGGTGTATCAAGAGTGCTTTGTCTGAGCTGACTTTTCAAAAAACAGCTGGCACGCTCCACTTCCTCTGCTCTGGTAGAAATATTAATGTGCTTAGGGTGTTGAGGCTCAGATAAAGTCAAGAGTACAAGTGGAATTTGGCCAGCATATACTGTCTGAATAAAATATTCCATTTTATGTGCAAGACTTCGCCAACATGTAAGCACCTCCCCTTTTCTCTGCCCCCAGTAGTCAACTGAGTTGGGGGACCGCCAGAGAATAAAAAAAAAAAAAAAAAGGGGGTCGAGTTAAAAAGAGAGCGATGGATTTACCGAGGAACGCTGAAGGCGAGACGGTCCCGTTGCTGCGTGACACCATGACGCTGATGCCAGTCTCCACAAAGGGCACAGAGAAGTCGATGACCTCCGACCTCTCCTCGTTAATGGTCAACGAGCCAACGGCCATCTCTGCCTTTTTATACACCACCTAGCAACCAGAGAGAGAGAGAAGCACTGTTATACCGAGAGCATGACTTACTGCCTACACTGTCAGAAATAAATACAGTGAGCTCTGTAAATATTTGGCCAACATCACACAGTTTCACTCTGACTTTTTCCTGCTTTTTATTTTGGATGTGAAATATCACATTGTATCACAGGGTATAACTCGGAATGTCAGTCGTAGTTGGAGGGCAGCTCCAGCCAATCCGATGAAAAGTGAAAGTATAGCTGTCTTTTTCATTGTGCCACCATTTGTAAATGTCTCAGTGTATTGTGACAGAGGGACATTCTGCTCATGAAGATGTCTTTTTTAGTAGGAAATAAAATATTATGCTTTTCTTTTTCAAATGTAATTGTTGAAAGGCTTCTAGTGGTCTGATCCGTGAACGATCTGTGGATCGTAATGTCAGGTTTCATTATCTCTGGTGTAAATTTCAGTTTAAAGGTTTCCCTGTGGCAGCGTTTAGGTTTAATATGATCTGTGGCTGAATAAATCATTTCCAGATAAGATAATTGATAGGAATTGGGTAAGACTGATGGTGTCCTGTCCCCTTTTTAAATCAGGACCCACGGACATAACTGTTCAGTGAAAAGAAACAAGCGGCTGGGCAGTCGTTGCATTTCTGTTACACTTTGAAGCTAATCAAAACAGATTAAAGAGTACCTCCCAGTGCTGTGTTTTGAGATCTGAGAGTGCAAACTGTAGGTTTGAGAGCAAAGCTGATATTCTATATTTTTCATATTGATAACAAACTATGTGAAACAACCAGAAACATTGAACTGATCCAGCTAATCGCATTGTTTTTATAGCCAAAGTCTAAAACATGCCTCGGTGCCCCCAGGGCTCCATCGTTGTCCTTAAAGTAATAAAAAGAAGTCATTAGAATTACAAGTTCCCTCATTAGAATTAACACAGGCACTGCAGTTTATTTCAAGTTCATCCCACTTAAACAGTATTGCTCTTGTACTGAGACATTAATTAATTTAATTAAAAAAAACAATTGCGATTACTGAGCCTCTTTAAAAAAAAACCCCATTAGCAATCCATTTTTTAAGAATCACTTTTATCGGTATTAAAGGAAATGAAAGTGGGAAAAATGCCCCCCCCTCTTACGGCTTATTCATTTTTACTTTGCTAAATATTATTGTTTAACTGGCCCCTTGCCTCTCAGCCCATTCACGTTTCTGGGACCATCAATTAATACTCATTTGGCCAAACTAGCATGGCTCATTTACCCACGATGCCCTGACAGACCGGTTTATGGTTAGTGCGATAGGTCTGTCACCCCTAACTTGTCATTTGTCAACAAGTGTCATTACTAATGTGAAGGAGCATATTTTACACTGCATCTTTTAATAAACGTAACTAAATGTGGGTATTTGGGAGTCTCGTTTGGTGCCTAAACCAAAGCAGAAAGTGAAAATAAGCCAAATTAAATACAAAACACAAAGATCCCAAGTGTCCAACCTTGAAGCAGATGGCCTATAGCAGCAGAAGACCACACAAAGGATCTGAGGCTACAATTTGCACAGGCATACCAACATTTTCCTGGTCTTATCAGTCTGGATTTCTAATGTGATTTTTGGAAGTAAAGGTCAACAACATGAAACCATGGATCCATCCTGTCTTCTGATGGCTGCTTCAGGATAATGCGCCATGTCACAAAGCTCAGATCAACTCAAACTGGTTTCTTGAACATGACAGTGAGATCAGTGTACTCAAATGGCCTCAACAGTTGACAGATTTCCAAACAACGGAGCACCTTTGGAATGTGCTGAAATGCGATTTTCACATCTTAGACAATCAAAATCAGCGAGCAATGTTTCGAGCGGCTTGCTAAAACTGTTCCATGAAGAATTTCGGTAGTTCTGAAGGCAAAAGGGAATCCAACCCAGTGCTGGCAAACTGTAACTAGCTGTAACTAGCTACTAAGTGAAAACGTGGGCATTGTTGATTTCTAAAGGCAGCCAATATATCTGTGTGCCAGTATGTGAAGGAACCAACTCTAAATGACATCTCGTGTGTAATTAGGAAACGCAGGTGGCATCTCACAGAACATCATTATATTACGCCCGGAGAGAGAACAGGTTTCATTTTGCAAAAGTAGCCTGGTAGCGTAAGCATAAAAAAAACTTAGCAGGCAGCACTATGTCACTGCTATACTTAAAGTTCTATTTCATATCATTGTTAATTGAAATGCTTGCACAGAAAGTCAGACTCACAGAATATACATTCATTTATTAAGACAGAGACAGGCAGTACCTCTCCAACCATGCCATTCCAGACGTTGTTGATCTTCTTTCCATGTTTCCCATTGGTGACCAGGTAGAGATCATAGGTAAACTTCACATTCCTGGCTATCTTCTTGAGAATGTCAATGCAGAAACCTTTGCAGCACTGCTTAATATAAGCGCCTCCTGATGTGCTGTTACTGCAACAAGCATATGCACAAACAGAATTAGGTCATTTTTTATATCAGAGGACATTTGAGTGTTATGTGTGTAACTGTGCGAGCTGCCTACTCGCTCCACATCTGGTGGTTCCATCAAACTGTAAAACTAGAATTATGACACTACTAAAGGGTAGAGAGAGCTTTCAGTCTGTGTGTGAGGGACTGTGTGTTTCCCTTAGTGCCAGCTACCCAAACCAGATGAAAACACAGGGGTGCCGAGCATAAGCTACTGGGCTTTAAATAGAGCCAGGCTCTACAGAACAACCAACCCACATAATTAAAATATCAGCTGTCCTTTCCTCATCTGTCTTCTGTGTCCTTTTCGCTCTGCCTCCTCGGTGTTTCTCAGCTTTCGTCTGTAGGAAGATGCTGCCCCAAAAAACTCCGCAGCCGCACACATAGGATGCACAGAATTCGAGCCGGTGTTTAAGTAAACTTTTCTGACAGCCGTCCCCGAGGACCTCAGAGCAGTGAACTAAACTGCATTGTTGGATCAAATGATTCTCATAATCTATTAAACCCTACCAGCATTTTCAAAAGCATTTCCATGAAAAGTTAATTCCGTTCCCATGTCAGCAATCTTTGATGTAGCGTACTGTATGCGGATGGGAGCAGCAGCTCTGTGACCTTTTCACTTGCCTTTTTCGCTGACTCCAATTCAGGAGAAAGTTCATGAAGAACTGAGGGATTCACGCGCACAGAACACCGAGAACGACTGTCAAAGACACGACACATCAAAGGATTAACAGATCCTTTAACTGCAGTCGACTGTATCTGCGGCGCATCATTACTGCGTGTACGAGAGAGACAGAAAGAGCCAGAGCAAGCATCGTATACGTACGCGTGAGGGAGTCTGAGTATGTAAAATCTCAGTGTCGCAGGTGTTCTAATGCACACATACTGTATGCATTAGTTTTTCCCAGCTGGGCTCTCTCTGAACATGCAAACACACAGACACATATACACACACACCAACAGGCTGTCTGAGGGTCACATATAGCACATCTCTTTGATTATTTTCATAACAACAAACAGATGCAAATGATATGGAAGTAGTGACTGTGTAAATGTAGCAGCTGTAGGGGGTTAGATACTGTATACAGATGTATGGACATCTGCACATGAAGTGCTGCACATAAACATGACAATTGTAGAAGAAACTTGTCTTTTTACCTCAGATTTTAGAGCAATCCCCTCTAGCGGATGACTGGTTAAGGTCACAAGTTAAGCTCTGTATGAGAGGTGATTCAGATGTCTAATAGTCCTTGCCTGCAGTGCTGATAATCTCAGAGGTTGTTATGATGCATCCATTTCTCTGAGGCATCTCCCGTCTGCCTTCTTTGAGTTCTACAGATGCAAAACCTTTAATATGGTGGCTTCCGGCTGTTAAAGAAATCTTCAAAGAAAGTAATTACCGGTGAGTTTTTGCACTTCCCCTGTGGTTAGCAGTGACAGTCCTATCCTATCCCATCTATGCTAACCCACGCTAATGACTATCCTGAACAATTTCAACTATTTTCTGCTGTCTGGATGAACCGACGCATTGATGACACAGAATGCTTCAGAAAAGAGATGTTAGTTGAACATTAGGGCTGTGTTGTGGTTAATGAAAGCACACATATGGTACTCAATAAGTGACAAAATTAACCTCAGTCGATTATAATGCATATTTAGGGGCTCCAAACTGGACATCCAAAATGTGCAAATGAGCAAAATAGAAAAGCTGCCTTATCTTGTCACGGAGAGCCACTGGTCGAGGTGTCCATTTGTAAAGTAGATAAATGGAGCAAATCCAAGAGGAGTTTAATTGAGAAAGTTCTACTTTCACTGTATATCTGAAAAATATCTTCTTTTTGTTTATACATTCAAGACGGCATGCGACATATTTCAGCCTCTACAATAATGCCTTTTAAGTTCTTTCAAAGAGAAGAGTCCTCAGTGTTGTTTGACATGCCGCTGCTGAAAAAAGGCTCAAAAGCTCTCTGCTGGGCTGACTTAAAAACAAATGTCATGTACGTTAAAACACATTGAACTGATATGACATCTGAGGAATCTATATTTGATGTTATTAAAGGCCTATTATCAAAAATATCTTTTCATCATTTTCATCTTAAATCAACTGAAAAATTATCAATTTGTTGCAACACAAATGAGATGCAGTGCAGAACAAACATCAATCAATGAGGTGGACAGTAACAGTAAAAGTGTACTATGCTGTCATATATATATATATATATATATATATACGCACACATAAAATAATCACATTAAATGAAGTAGCATGGCAAAGCCTGTGTGAATTTGTGATACTGTTGTCAAGAGTGCTGATAGCAGATAAAAAAATGTTCTGGGATCCAGATAAAGACATCAGATATCAGATAAAGACTTGCTAAAAATAATGATAAGAAAAAATTTTAAGCAAACGGGTATGAGGGTTGTTTTTAATGTGAGTGAGGAATCAAGATATTCAAGGGAATATTTTACAACACAGGATATGGAGCAATTCTGCTTTCCCGCCTGGAGTAGAAAGGACATTTTGCTGTTGGGGAAGAGCAAGAGCAAAAAAAAAAGAAAAAAAGAAGAAGAAGTCAAGGCCAGGTGAAATGACGACGAAGCTGCCGCAGGGAGCAGAGAGCTAAGTGGCCAGTTGTAGCAGAGCACAAAGCACAAGCTGGTGAGTTTGGATAGGCCGCAGCCTGCAGATATGGACGCACGACTCCCCGAGGAGCCTTGAGCGCCAGGACCAGAATTTAGAATTTGATGCGAACAGCCACGGTTAGCCAGTGAGGAAGAAGAGTGTGGAGGAGGTGGGGAGCGCAGGGAGAACTTGGGGAGGTTGACGGCAGGGCAGGCTGCAGCGTTCTGCTGAACAGAATACTTTACGAGGCCGGCTTGGTGGATGTTGCAGCACTCCAGATGGCCGATGACAAAAGGTTGGGCAGCGTCCCACATGAAACATCTTTTCATTTTCTGTCTCCAGGCGTGGTGCAGGCTGGGGTTTGTTCTTTTTTTTATAACATAAATTAACCTCTGCTAAAATTGTTACACATAACTGAGTGCCCCGGAGTTGCCCAGAAAGCAAGATTATGTTCTTGGTATGAAAACAAAAAAGGCTGAAAGAAATTTAATGCCTCTGATGATCAACATTTTCTAATCTACTGAACACTGTGTTGATGCCAAGATAAGGTGCTTGTTTCACAGAATACCACATATCAATAATAAGTTTATAGATATAGCACCAAATCACAATAGCAGTAGCCTCAATGTGCTTTTTATTGGAAGGTAAAGACTATAATCAGACGGCTGCCTGTGAGCAAGTACTTGGCGACAGTGGGAAGGAAAAAGTTCCTTTTAACAGGAAAAAATCTCCAGCAGAACCAGGCTCAGGGAGGGGTGGACATCTGCCACTAGTGGCTGGAGGTGAGGGGAGGGAGACAGGACAAAAGACATACAGTGGAAGAGAGTCGAATAATAACTAATGATTAAATGCACACTGGTGTAGAGAGTGAAAAAATGAAGAAATACTCAGTGCATCATGGGTTGCCCTAGCAGCCCAGACCTGTTGACATAACTAAGCCTAACTAAGAGAAGGTTTAGGGTCACCTGATCAAGCCCAAAAAGCTTTATCCAAACAACTGTCTTAAACCTAGTTATTTAGTATACTGCATGTACTTTTCACATGTACAGTATATAATTTAAATCATCAGTCCATCAATTAATCAATTAATAAACAGTTAAATGTAAAAATTTATTTAAAAAAATACTTTTCTATAGAAAAACTGTCCAAATTTCAACTGGAATTACCACCTTTGGGTTTTTGGCCTCTGCAAACCAATCATGATGAGGTTTACAGCCATATCAGTCCAGATTTATTATGTATATTCCATGCAGGCTCTGATATAGTTTCAAAGATGGACAATATTAAAAATGGCCACAATGTCCCCTTCTGTTCCTGAGCTGTGACACAGAATAATAGCTACAAAGTGTGTTGCAGAACAGCGAAGCTGTTGCTCGACCTTTTGGATATAAAATGTCATTCTCTCATCATTTTATCCTGTTATAAAATTATGTGAAGTTTTTGTTATAATTGTCTTGTGAATTCTTGAGTTTAAAAATGTGTTTTGTGAGGTCAAAGTGAGCTTTGACTCTAAGACTCAAACTCAAACCTTGAGTCAGGCTGAACATCTGTGCCAGATGCAATGAAATTTAGTGTTCCTGTGACACTGCAATCAAAACAATGTTGTGTTAAATTTCCAGAATATACCCCCTTCATAAGAATGGGATGGACAGAAGTACGTGATGACGCACGCTGAAAAAAAGGGATTGGCCAACTCTTGGATTTACGTAAGCATCTTGCGTGTATTTAACATAAGTGCCTCATGCTTTAAAGTTAAGTGTAACTATATAGTGTAGAAACTACATGATATGCAGAGAGGCTAGATTAAATTGTTCATATCATGTTCGAGTGAAGCAAGTCAATAACTTTCAGTTTCGTATGCTTTGGATCGTGGTTTCAGGAAGGCATCCATCTCAGTCAATTCGAGTAGGCTCCACTACTTTTTTTGGTATACTGAAAAAAGTAAATTGGGTGTTTGTTACATTAAAAACAAAATGACATGTCTAAATTAACTTGTAATTTAAACACAATAATTTCATGCTTCTATGAACGTAATTAAATCATGAAGGATCTGTACGAAATTCAACAACTTAATTTGTTCTTGTTGAGATGACCTGGTACAATCTAGTAAGAGCGGTTAGTTGCTGAACTCATGAAATTCACAAGATCGCACGAGATGTCAAACTGCAGGAAAATCACTGG